ATGCTGATTGGGCTTGACTGACTTGGCATGTATTAGAGAGTTGAACCTCTTTGCGCTTTTGTAATTAAATCCTTTGAACCGGTCCAATTAAATGACTGAATTGGACTCAAACGCTAGCTTTTTATGGGATAAGTCCCTAGAAATTCCCTTAATGACCACTTTGAGCTACTTTGCAGGTTAATTACGCTATTCTAGAGGTAATCATTGGGCGGGCCGGGCCGAAGCTAAAAAAATTTGCCCACTTCTCGGGCCGGACCGGGCCAAGCTTCGGGCCAATTTTTTTGTGCCCAAACACGCCCAAAGTGGTCGGGCCGTGCTGGCTTTTCGGGCCGGGCCTAAAAAATCAACTAAATATGCTTTAAAACGCATTCCCAAACCCGCCCAAAAAAAAAATCGGGCCGGGCCCAACCCGATTTCGGGCCGAAAATTTTTGCCCAAAGCTCGCCCAAAATCGGGCCGGGCTGGGCCGGGCCATACTTGATCAGGTCTACGCTATTCCATTCACTACTTAAAATTATTAAAGATAAGAAAAAGCTTTTAGGCAACAAGGCTCATCTTAAGGCTATTAAGATATTTTATTTATATTTCAATTATTTTGTTTGAACTTATTTAAATTTACTTTGGTGTAAAGGTTTTAATCTATTTGAATTTATTTGAGTTATTTTTATATGGATCTGAACTTTTTTTGTTTGAAATTACCCAAAATAAGTTGTTAAAATAAGTTCTAAGTTGTATACTTATGTTCATATCATCCCCTTATATTTAACGACAGCCTTTGAAATAGGCTTCTTACTTCCCCAGTTTTTCCCCTCCATATCATTCTGCCAGTCAACTTGATTCAAAGGTTCTTCATATGAATCTTAATTTTTGTAGAAGAAAATGATAATACAAGTTCAAATTCTTTGAAAAAATGAGAGTAAATTAACAGCAACAATAAATAAAATAAAATAAATGTAATACAAATAAGTACTATGAAAGCAGCTTCACGATCCTGTAGCATCGTTATTATTGTTGCCGGCTATTAATGTCAATAAATTTGTATCCACTAAAGTACATAAGTACACGAGTATATTTTTAGATAAAATTGTTCAGAATAATTCGACCTTTCCCTCATCCGTCCAAAATAATTTCATCTTTCAATTATTTTTTAATAATCCGACCTTTAATGTCAATCCGCTTTAAATGGTACCAACCGGTTATCTAACTTGTTATATAAGTTAGATGACACTTGTCGGTGTGATTGGTTAAAAAAATAAAATAAAAAGATAAAAAAAGTTTAATTTTTTTATACAGAAATTTAAACAAAAATTAATTATTTGAAAAACCACTCCACCAGCCCAAGCTACCTTCCCTGCCGCCCCATCTCCGCCGCCGGTTTCCCGGCTCCCCTGCGTCGTATCTCCGGCTGCCAGACCCCAGCGCGGTGCACCCCTACCCCCTCTTTCCTTCAACCACCCCGTTTCTTGAAATCTATGTTGGTGGGGTTTCGAATGGGCTTAGGGTTGGTGCCTTCTTGCCTTGGGACCAGTCGACGCAGTCGGTTTCGGGCTTGGGGTGGAGTTCCGGTTAGGTACGGTCAAGTGGGAGTGGGGTACGGTTAGGTAAGGATGGTGGTGGCTCAAGTGGTGTGGCTTAGGTGGTGGGTTTTTTGTAAAAATTAGATTTTACCTTTTTTTTTTAAATTTTGATTGATATTTTTTTTTTTTACCAATCAAGTGGTGACACGTGAAAATTAAACTTAAAAAAAAAAAATTACCTCCTCAACCGATTATAGGTCACTTGGGACCATTTTAAGAAGATTGACATTAAAAGTCGGATTATTAAAAATTAATTGAAAGGTAATCGAGATTATTTTGGGCGGATGAAACAAAGGTCGGATTATTGTGGGCAATTTTTCCATATTTTTATCCATTTTTATTTTCTTATTTACTAGTAATATTCTAATATTTTAGTTTTTGAAAGAATCCCATTTAACTTGTATGCATCTTTATATTTATTTATTTATATATATGATTTTAATTTTTGAAAAGCCAACTTCATCGGTGTTAAATTAAATGGCTCATTTTATTTAGGAAAATTTAACAGGAATAATCCAACCTTTTGTCCGCTCTCCCATATTAATCCCACCTTTTAATTATTCCTCATTAATCCAACCTTTGCCCCCCTTCTTCCCAAAATGAAACCAAATGACCGGTTACCTAAACAATGGGTCATCCCTTTCCCTCTCCTTCCTCTTACTATTTGCCATCATCCTCCTCCATTACCACCACCCAAAGCTCCACCTCCGTTCACCACCCTTGACCACCTTACACCAAAAACAACCACCACTACACCTTTGGCCACCACTAGCACCAAAACAGCCACAACTACACCTTCCCGCCACCACCTCACTTCACCGTCTACCTACCCTATTTCCCCGTCAAACAAGCCGTCCCACTACTCCCTCATTTCCCTATCAACCAACTAGCCAGCCACGTGCCACCTTCTTGCAATCACCCGCAACTTAGCCACCACCACCACCTCCGCCACCACTTAACCCACTTACCCAAACCCAGACCCGAAACCCTTCCCGCACTCCTACCTAGGCTCAAAACCACTAACCTGACCTAGCCGAAACCCACCAACCCACCTCCACCAACCCTTCTCTTTAGCTTCATTCTCTCTCCTCTCCTCTCCATTACCAGTTTAACACCTCACCTCCCTTCCCCTTCCTTACCCACCAACCTCAACACACCATCACCAGATTCACCATTCCTTGCCGCCACGAACCACAACCACCACAAGCTATAACCCACACCCACCAAAACCTATCAACACCACGAACCTCACCACCTCACTAACCACGAAGGCACGAACCACAACACAACCACTGCAAACTCCAAATCACACACAAATTTAAAACCCCAAACCACCCCGAAAAACGCCACACTTACCTTTCAAAACTTCTATTATGGTTTTATTTAGTTAAATTTAACCTTGAAAACACTAGATCTAGAGTTATCATGGTTAAATTTAACCATCAAAACCTCACACTTGAAAACTTTAATGGTGGTGGTGAATTGAAACAAAAAGAGAAGAAAAAAGAGAGGACGTAGCAGCGACAATAACGAGAAGGGGTGGGTTGGGTGTAGCCGCGAGGTAATGGGAGGGTTAACGGCGGGGCGGCGTGGGGGCGGGGTGACGGTGGTTGTAATCAGGAAGGGCGAATGAAGAGGGAGAAAGAGTGAGAAAGGTTAGGGAAGGAAAAAGGGGAAGGAGTTCAGAGATTTTTTTTTTTTTCATTTTTTATTATTTTTAATTAAATATATTTTTTTAAATTAAAAATAAAAAATTAACCAATTAGGAAGTGCCACGTGGATGGATAACCGATTGAAAGGGTAAGGTGACCTGCAAGGTGTGATATGGGAAGAAGGGGGGCAAATGTTGGATTAATGAGGAATAATCAAAATGTGGGATTAATATGGGAGAACGGACAAAAGGTTGGATTATTCCTGTTAAATTTTCCTTTTATTTAGTACATATGTCAAGAGCTTTCTTTACGTTGAGCTAACCCAGTGGGTCGACTTCCTATCTATACGGAACTAGGAGCTAAGGTAGGATTTCTAGTTCGACCTCAACCTTCTGGCCTTTAGGTACAAATTATAAGTGTAATCAATAGTACCTTTAACTATAAATAAGTATAAATGATAAAAGTTATATAATATACAAGTTAAAAAAAAAGGGAAAAAAAAAAACAAATTCTAACTAGCATCCATGCATGCATATGATTATGTTTGACTTTATTTTTATAATTTCAACTTTGCCCAATTTATTTTAAATAATTCCAACTTTCAATTATTCTGTAATAATCTTAACTTTCAGTTGCATTTTCTTTTAACAATCTCAAATCGATCAACTAAAGTCAACAGCCTGTTATTCTAGGTTGTGTGACACATGTGAGGTCGTGATTGGTCCAAAAAATAAATAACTAAAATTCAAGCCACCAACCACCGTTTGTGGTCACCCCTTCCCCAGCCCCATGGTCCCACCACCAAAACCACCCCTTCCCCAACTAATTAACATGCAGCACGTGGCAAATAATGTGTCTTTAAAAAATTTAACCTTTTCTTCAGTTTACCGATAATCGGGATTGAAGAAAGAAAACATAAGTGAAAGTTGGGATAAAGAATAAATTAAAGTTGAGATTATTTAAAGTAAATTGGGCAAATTTGGGATTATTAAAATGAGTTTTTCCAATTTTATAAGCATAAACATTAATTAAAGTGGTATATAGAAATAGTGCAAGTGATCGACAAATTGGGACATTATTTTTAGGAATTTTTGTGAGAAACTACCTAATAAAACCTAAATTATGCGAGAAACTGCATAATAAAAAAAATGTTGTAAGAAACTATCTAATAAAAGGTAAAATGTTGTAAGATATTACCTTTGACCAAATTCACACCGTTGACTTAATTTCACGACGTTGATCCACCTCAAAACACACCTGAAACCATCGTGAGGGTTGGTTTTCAAGGTGGTAAGGTTATTTTCGGGGTGGTTGGAGGATATTCAGAGTTGGTGAGGGTAAATTAGTGCTTCGTGATGGTGGTTTTGGGAGTTAGAGGTGGTAGTTTTGGGGTTGGAAGGTGGTTTAGGCGTGGTGAAGGCGATTTTAAGCAAGTTGTGTTGGTTTTGGGAATGAAAGCGGCGGTTTCGACTGTGTTTTGAGGTCGGTCAACAATGGAAATCTGGTATAGGTAATATTCTACAACATTTTACCTTTTCTTAGGTATTTTTTTTACAACATTTTACCTTAATTAGGTAGTTTCTTACAGCATTTTTTTATAAGGTAGTTTCTCACAAAATTTGGATTTTATTATGTAATTTCAGACAAAAAAATCCTTATATTTAAAGAGAGAGTTGCAGATTTTGAAACATATATGGTATGATTTTTCTTTTTTTACCATACCTTTTACTTGTATAAATCTTCTTCGTACTACACACATTCTTTAACATGTAAAAACAGGTGTGAGTGTGTGACGTTACTCTAAACTTTGAAGGGCCACTTGAAGATTTTAAATAAATGCAAGAAATAGCAGTCCACAAGTCTAATAGTACCAAAATAAACACTGATATATATCAATGCCAAAACAAAAACATAAATACAAAATCTTAAATAGAGATTTTGAATAAACCTCTAACTCACAAGTTGTGACCATCATCCATTTTCCTTCGCACAAACACACTCCCCTTCTTTGTCTACTCTCCTTCATCTCACCATCACTACCAATTGACACTCGGTCGATTTCTTCATCTCCTTCTTCGTCCTCCCTTAAATCGAAAACCTTATAATCAAGTCGTCAATGTTCATTAAATATACTTCGTACTAATACTATTGCTATACATAAATTAAACTGTCACATATAATTAAATTATAACCCTACACATATTTTATTATATCTTCGATTATATTATTATTATTATTATTATTATTATATAGTTTATTATTAATTAGCCTTATCTAGATTAATTATTAATATTCGAGGGTAAGTAAGTGGCCTAGGGAGGCTTTGTAATGCTTGCAATATCACCCCTAAGGAGTAACAAAGATGGCAACAACAAAGGAGGTACGATGGAGGCGAATTTCTCGATGGGAACGGACGATTTCCCGGACTTCTCCGGTACAAATCTGCTCGATAGCATCGATTTCGATGAGTTGTTTATGGGCATGCACGATGGTGATGTGCTGCCAGATCTTGAAATGGATCCGGAGTTATTGGCAGACTTCTCCATTAGTACCGGGGAAGACGAATCATCCGAGTTTAATAACTCGTCGTCAGCTATGTCTGTTGAGAACATTATTAGTCCTAATGATGATGGTAACATAGCTTCATTTGAGGCTAGTTATGAAGGTAACTATGGTAACAATGATGTTAGTGAAGTACTTGAGACGTCGATGGAGGTTATGGAAAAAGACCATGATGGTCGTGGATTGAGGACATCGGAAAAGGAGGGGATCGAGGGCAAGAAGGATGTTAAGTCGGAGTCTACAACAACAACGATTTCATCCTCGAAAGAGAGTAATAACATGAAGAAATCATCATCCTCGAGCTCCAAATCCGGGGTTAATAATAACAACAATCATCAAGGGAAGCGAAAAACAAAGGTACTAAATTATAAATGAGTATATGTGTAATAAATATGTATGTATGTATTAGTACAAAACAGCCAACATAACTTATCTTAAATTTATTACACAGACTATTGTCGATCTTTTCAAAATAATAGTTCACGGGACTATTATTTTGAAAAGTCGGACTCATAGCTAGTTTGGATTATTCTGAAATAATTGATAGTTGAGATTATTTTGGAAGTAATGAACCAGAACTCTTAATTAATCACAAACTAGAAGCATTGCATAAATCAGTGATTGTTACTAGGTGGATTGGACACCGGAACTTCATAGAAGATTCGTGCAAGCGGTGGAGCAACTAGGAGTTGATAAGGCAGTCCCTTCGAGGATTTTAGAGCTTATGGGAATTGACTGTCTTACTCGCCATAACATAGCCAGCCATTTACAGGTTCTTATTTTTCTGTACTCCGTATATTTTATAAATTTCAACTTCGCAATAAATTTTAATAATCTAACCTTAGAGAGTATTTTCTTTTATCGATCCTAATATGTCAACAAACTGTTAATAAGAGCAAATGGGTCTAAAGTTGGGATTTTTAAAACCAATTTTTTGTGTGTGTGTGTTTTTTTTTCCTTTTTTTTTACTGTATTATTAAATGCTAACATTTGTAAGATTATGTGATAGATGTGACTGGAATTTTCTTAGTATCCTATATGGGTGTCTGGGTGATTTTACTTTTGATGAATGGAACAAAATCTTGGCAATTATTGTATTGTCATATTGCTCATATACTTCCATTTTTGTTCTTGATATTTGTGCAAAATTTTAATTGTTGATGAACAATTTCAATTCAATTTGTACTTTATAGGATACACTTGACCTTGTTGTAAATGAAATAATCTATTCATACACATGGCTATATACAAGATTATGTAGTGAATTTTATATAAAACCTAACTAGCAATAATATGATTATTAGGGTTCCATTAGTTTTGGGTTGTTATTATTTTATTCGTATCTTAGTTAAACATCAATATTCACAAAATTCTATAATCAATCACTTTTATTTTTACAAAGAAACTATGAAATCAATAACAATATACTAAAAGACACACAAGTAATGACACATGTCATCTTCCGGTATGTCCTTAATTTTTTTTTTTTTTTTTTTTTTTTTTTTTGCTGAATGAAATTCAATTAAAGAAACAAATCTTATAAAAAATAATTCCCTAATCTTATACAATATAATTACTTAAAATAAAAAAAGATTTGACATATGTTTAACACAAATATTTATATAGCTATAAAAAAGTTATTATCATAATTTTAATCATTCTACATCATTTTATATCTAACATATCTTTTGTAATCCTTTATTATAATCAAAATTTGTCAACTATATATATAGAATGTTTATAAAAAAAACTAATTATAATCGTAGTTTAATAATGATTATTGAAAATTACCGTGCATGGCACGGGAACTAACTTAGTTATATTACTATAACAAAGCCAATATTTATATAATTATATTACAACTATCTCACATCTTTATTTATCCATTTGTATTATTCTAATTATCTATTTGTAACATTCTAAAAAATAAATCAGTGTATGCATGATTCTCAGAAATATCGATCACATCGGAAGCATTTGCTAGCAAGGGAGGCCGAGGCAGCGAGTTGGACCCAAAAGCGACAAATGTATGGCGTCGCGATGGGAGGTGCCGGCAAAGGTGGTGCAAACATAAGCCCATGGTATCCACCAACAATGGGTTTTCCTCCAATGACAACGACTATGCACTCGCCTTTTAGGCCACTACATGTATGGGGTCATCCAACTATGAATCCTCAAGCAAGGTTGCATTTGTGGCCTAAACAAGTTGCTCCTTCAACTACGCCGCTACCACCAACATGGGCACCTCCTCCACATCCACCACCGCCAGCGGATCCATCATTTTGGCATTCAGCTCACCAACGTGTAAGCTATTTTTTTTTTTTTGTTTTAATTTTTTTTTTTCTTGATACATGCATAGACCTCATTTGTTTAGATTGTACCCCATAAATTAAAATAATTTTTTTTTTTTATATAAAACAATTTAATGGAAAAAACGGAGGATTCAAACTATCTATATAAGAATAAATTCGCTTTTAAAAAACAAAAAATATGAGTAAATTTTAAGAGCGTGGAGAGGGCTACATGCCTATATGGGCATGTCATATTACACAACATTATCTAAAAATTAAATTAATTATAATGCAAAGAATATATAGAATTTGATGTTAAAAATATTCTTTAGATAGAACAAAAAAAAAAAAAGGAGTAAAGTTTGATTTTCATAAAGTTATTTAAATATTTAAGCTACTTATTACAAAAAAAATAATTATAAAAATTCTATAATCTGCTTAAAAGCCTAGAGGGGTATCATATGAATATCAATTGATAATAATAAGAGTAATTATTCCTCTAGGTTATAAGGTGGTATTTACTCTTTTTTCACCAATGTATGTGGCCAGCTCATATGTGCATACCCAAATGGTTTTAACTGTTAGAAAATCTTTAAAATATTTTAAGAAAAAGATATTTTAAAAATACTCTAATATTTGTATTTATAAGTTAAAGTTTAAACTCGTTTTCTAATGCAAATTGTTGAGCCCACGAATTTATAATTTTATATTTAATTTATCCCAAGGACTAGAGGAACTTTTACCAATCATGGGGTATAAGCTAAAAGAATTTTCTAAATTCATGTTCGATAAAGTAAGGTAAAATTAAATTAGAGAGAATATGTTACTTGATTTGAACAAATTTGCTTTATATTGAATTAAAAGACTTATATATTATAGACTATGATTCATTATTAAATTTTGATGTACATAATTTAGAATTAATCACCGGATATATAATAATTATCATTGTTATTATTAATGTTATACTACCCCTGTTTTTTTTTAGTTGACACGTTTTGACTTTAACACTATTCACACACTTCCTTTTAACCGTGTTTTGTGATTTATACGTAATAAAAAATATAGTCATGTGGGATCTTATTAGATTCGTCACGATATTTATTTTTAAAATATTAACTTTTTATAATTTTTACTTATCGATAATTAAAGATATGGACGGTTGAATTTATGCATTGACAAACATGACTAAAGAAACGTGTCAACTAAAAAGAAACAGAAAAAGTAAAAATTAAGATATAAAAGAAAAAAATTTGGCTAAGCACAACTCCACAAGTTCATAATGGAAGAGTGTATTAGTACAATAAAGTTTTTAGGAATTTTATACAACAATTAGTACTAAGTACTAACTCACATGTACAAAGTTATATTATCTACATACTCGGTGCATATCATCCAAAGGTTTTATATGTGAAGAATCTATATCAAGCATGTTTTATGTAAGTCCTTCTCTACCTTATAAAAAGTAAAAGATTACTCTTATGAATAATGTGTTGTCAATTATATCCTTGTATTTAAATGCATGTTTACCCTCAGTTAATATATACAAGTTTCAATTTTGCCTTCATTAATTTTTTTTTTTTTTTTTTTGTATTTGCCTTTATTAATGTTAATTATGTTTTTTTTTAACTATTTAAAATAATGTGCAAACATTTATACCCCTAAAATATTTGTTTAAATATTTTTCCTTATTAACCAATAACTAAAAAAGCTCCTCGAACAAGGCTACATATGGCACGTGGAATGCGTGCGTTAGCCACCCTAGTTATATAAATAGAATGAAGACATTTAACAACACACACAGTTTATCTAGTTTCAAAAATAACACAAAAGGACTAATGAGAAGTCAATCGAGCATCATTATGTTGTTTCACTAGGTTATTATTTTTTATAATGCAATCTCGCCGAGATATAAATCTATTTATAGACAATCAAGATTATTTTTTTTTTTAACAAGTTAAGGTAGAGTCTTAAAAGAAAATAAATAATCTTCCTAACTTTATATGCCTTTCTAGGAATAAGAAGAAAGTGGAACAATATCCAGTTCCAATAATGTGTTAGAATAAATCCAAGTCTCGTGTGGGAGTCTCTATCATTGTCCCTCACCCTAAAACGGCATATTGAGTTGATGTGTGTGGTGAGTCTGGTGACCCCATCACCGCCCTGCTATCCACGCCACCAACAGTAACAGGACTAACACCTCATCAACTACTTTTTTTTCTACCCTTGTTACCTTGTGTGCTTGTCTACATTTATTTATTTTTTTTATTTATTTACCGAAACTTTTAATTTTAGCCATCAGTAAATAACCAATTTTATTGTTGTTTTTTTATTGATGGTTTTGTATACAACGGGCATATAAATGTGCTTGCCAATATGTTTATTTTACATCAATTCTTAATTTTAGCGACTGGTAAAATTATAAGTTAGGTTTAAGAAATAGAATAAAGTAAGAATGCGGAATGTAAACAGATGAGATTGTGTGATAAAAAAAGTTGAACTAAGTTATAGAGGATGAGATAATAGAGATAAGCCAAGATTAAAGAAAGTAAAATAAGCCTAACAAAAAAAATAGGAAATAGCATGTACTTCCTTCTCTTTCTCCTTATAATTATTTCACTCTTTTATATATCCAATTAGAAGATTCTTAAATTGAGAAAAATGCATGAGCATACCGCCTTTTTTTTTAAAATAAAATACTTCATCCGTTTTTTAATACTTACAACACATACTTTTTCACAGCATTTAAGAAAAGTGGGTCTCACATGATATAATTCTCTTAAAATGGAGGTGAGAGATTGTTAGAAGAATAATTTAGTGGGCTGTGAGCTTAAAATAAGGATAATATTACAAATTTCAACCAAAAAAAAAAATCAATAATAGTTTGTTGTAAATGTTGTGATATTTTCATTTTAGGAAAGTGTTGTAACTTGTAAGTATAAAAAATATGGAGGAAGTATATAAATGTAAAAAAAATTCGGGCTAAATTAATATTCTGATTTTCTAGAAAATATAAAAATTTGTATATTTTGTTTGAATATATGCAAGTCTTATTTGAGATTTAGAAAAAAGTTTCACATTTTGTAGTTTTAAAATATTAAGAAAAAAGTATGAAAAATATGCACTGTTAATATAAAAATAAATGCACATAAGATGTAAATAGTTTGGCTATAGCCTGTTAATATAAATAAGTCTTTTATTTTTGTAAAAAAAAAAATAATTAAAAATTTTCTCATTTATATTACCTTTGCTTCATAATGTTTTTAATATATTTATTATTTTTTTGTCATCGCTTAACGTTTTAAGCATATACTTTGTACAACAAACTTTTTTTTGTACTAACATTAACTTACCCCTCTTGAGCTCCGTTCACTTCACCTTATTTTTGCTGAAGTGAAATTATTTTTACAGAACTGAAATTAATTTTATTAATTTTACTGATTGTCTATTATATTTCTTCGTTACAATTACTCATTTTTAGTGAACTGAACGGATGTTTTTACAGTATTCATTTGAAAAATGACTTCCGTATTATTTTAATGATATACAATATGATTGGTTCATTTTTTTCACCTTATAAAATAGTCACAATTAGTCTTCTTATATCTACAATGAAAATATACTTTTTGAATTTTTTTTTCCAACATAAAATAAATATTTTTACAAGAAACTATAAAATAAGAATAAATTACATAAATGAAACTAAAAATTTGATAAATAAAAAAAAAATTGATAATACTATTTTATACCTAAAATAAAGTAATATAATTAATTACTTGGAAAAAATTATGTCAATTATGAACTATATAATCATGAAAACATTATGGTAGTCATATTTCAAATGACTACTGTAAAATTTTCAGCATTGAACTTATTTCTATTAAACTAAAATTATTTTTAATGAATATTATTTTTGTAAGGTGAAGTGAACAGGGCTTTACTCTATAATATTTACACCTACTTACCTTTAGACGAGATGTGATAACGAGAAATATGATAAATTATGTTGTGCATAAAAATAAAAATAAAATAAAAAAAATGTAAAAATAAATAAATAAATAAAAACTAAATGGTTATTTTCAAATTTTGTTTACATGCAGGCTTAATATATACGAACAAAAAGTCAATTTTAACTTAATGGTCCCGATTTTTCAACCACAAGTTATAAGATTTTTTTTTTTTTTTAAAAAAAAAAAAAATAGATTTAGCATATTGTTTGAATATTCAACATCATTCTATGGATTATTCTCGTACAAGCTGGAATATATATAGGCAATGTAATTTGTATGATGTTAATATTTGAAAGAAATAATTAACCCTTTTTTGTACGCAGAGAGTCGGAGTAGCACCAGTTCAAGGGATTCCATCACACACAATGTACAGATCAGATCAACAAGGCCTCCGGTCACCGCCAGCGACGCAGTCTGGGCCCCACTCTTCATTTGACCTTCATCCGGTGTGCATCTATATCATTGTTTTTTGCTTACTCTTAAATAGTACGATGTCACGTTAAATGTTGAAAGATATATATCAAAATTTCTTAATAACGCGGTCCAAATAAGCAAAAAATTGGCATATTTTAACAACATAAAACCAATAATTTATTGCTTGTTTGCCATCGTGTTTTGTTTTCAATTTTTTGTTTTTTTTAAAACAAAAAACAGAAAACAAGAAAAATGTGTTTAAATGAATCAAAATATTCCGACAAGCATACCCGTAATAGTAGGATAATTTTAATTGGTGTTAGTGTATGTAGTCATGATACTATATACCACTTGTATGTTTAGTTCAATAGATATAACTCTAAATGATTGATAAATTATCTACTAGTACGATGTTAAAGTTTGGTCACGATCCTTCTCTTTAACCTTTTAAAAAAAAGTCTCATTCTTTTCAACCCAAAGTTTTAAGTTATTTTATGCTCGATCAACTTATTGACTAAACAATACTAACGTACTTGTACTAATAAATGTTTGCATCTCTATTTCTATGTATAAACTAAATTATGTAAATCATTAATTATTAAATTGTTTGCTGATTTTGCCTACGAGTCTTTACATCAATTTATCATGTTTGATCACTCTAACAAGTGTTCTGGTTTACATGATAAAATTAAACAGTCGAAGGAGAGTATAGATTCAGCCATTGGAGACGTTTTAGCAAAACCGTGGCTGCCGCTTCCCATAGGCTTAAAACCTCCATCCATGGACAGTGTTATGGTGGAACTTCAGCGTCAAGGCATTCCAAAGATACCACCTTCTTGTGCATCAAATATCGCAACACCTTACTTTTTGGTTCAATAATAATATACGTACGAAGGTGCGCAAAAGAAACACAACAAAAATACCCCCAATTTGACGACATATCATGCGTGTAGATAGATGATCTCCATCTATTAGCACATGTTCCTCTTTTTATTACATGCATTACCCTCGATCAGTTGTCACTTTCTACGTAGGCAGCATCTTTGGTTCGTCCGTGCAACAACTGATAAAATGGTTTGTGTGTTACAACAAATTGTCTAGTGGACTCTCCATTGTATGAGTTTTATTATTTGTGAATAAATTTTGTAATATTATGAGGCATTTGCATATCTCAATGGATTATCTTTGTTCTTCTAATTTGTAAATTTCTTTGCTCTATCTTTCTCTCTCTAAATATAAGGACAATGTATTGACGGGCATCCTTGAGTGTATCTAAGCGCACATGGTCTATGTATTTCGCATGCACATAGGAGGGCGATTTGGGGTTTGGTGGTACATTTTTTCTCTCTTAATGATACAACTAGTGGTACATTATGATGCACATATAATGTACCATTAAAGTATAAGTTCGTTGTCTGAATAGTACTTTTTATGTACTACTATGCATGTAGTGATAATCTTTGCCATCATATTTTCCACCAGTGGTTTTTTCTCAGGTTCCCATTATTTACAAAAATGTCATCCTATTTGCATACAAATCGCATAGGGTCTATGCGCCAACACTTCTCCGACATCCTTGCTTCCTTAGCTGAGGGATTTAAAAAAGGACAATAATGTACGCATGCATGCTCTTAGATTGATATTGAGTGTTGTGCTATCTACTATCTTAATTAACTTTTGTGAATATGCTTGAGAGCACGTAAGAATTTGCAGATTTGACTTAGTGTAGACATCTAAAAGGTGTATTATTCCCCTTTAGCGCCTGATGACGAAATCACCACTTGCTAAACAAGTGGGCTCAGCGACCAATTACATACGATGTTAAGTTTCTAATGCGTGCCTAAATTGATCTCCTAATTTTTAGGCTCTGTTCTTTTGAGTAGCTGCGTGCTCTGCTAAAATCACCGAAAGCCTTAATTTAGTTTGAAGCCCATAAACTTAAGTCAAACCTGCAAACCCCAAAGTCAAACAATAAACAACCATTCACACTTTGGAAACACAAAATAAGTTGTCTTAACCCAAACCCAAAGCAACGTTCGGAACCTTCTTAGATACCCCTTCCCTTAGCCTCCAAGCAGGCCTAAAGAGAATAAGGAGCTGCCACTTATGTGTGTGTTCCAGACACACCTATGGTGCTCCTAGAGCATGTCTGTGCGCCCGGTACACGGCCATGCATGTGGCATGTGCCGTAAGTCCCTGCAAGTTGTAGGTGCAAGTACTTTCAACGCACCATGCAAAAGCCATGTGATAGTTGGAGTCACTTGCATCCCGTGTGCACAACCTGGCGTGCTTAGTTGTAGCCCTATTTTTCTATAGATACCCACTAATTTGCCTTATTTTAAAGGGTTGAAAAATTTGCTAAGCTGCTCTCAACAAATATTTGTTTTTCATAATCTATCATTTAAAATTTTCAATTCTTTTATCCAAAGAGCAGCTATCAACAAAGGCAATCCTTTGAAGAGCTAGGATCTTGTATTTTAGAAGCTAATTTAAGCAATCATTATGCAATTATATCATGCTTGAATATATATGTGCACATATTAATGTCCAAATCTTCCTCTCCCTCAAGGCTAGAATTTTCTAATGCCTTGAGAGTAAAAGTCAAAGTAGAGGCATCATGCTTGAATGCCCTTTTCTTTGATGGTGGCCTGATGAAGGACTCCATCCTTGATTATCTTGATAGCAATATTCTAACATTAACCACATTATTGCTTATTATGCTTGCTTTAACATTGTCAAATATTGCTACTACTTGCTATATTTTGCCATGCTTATTTGCTTTTATGCACTTGTTTTAGAAGGCACCCCAGTTCCTCATTGTGAGAAACGTTTTGTGTTTCTCATAATGACATTTTGGAAATTAATTTCATGTTTTTACCTTCCTGTGTTGCTGATTGGGATTTCATGGGGACAACTTATGTGTCAAGTTGTTTGAGTAATGTGGGATGGCGTTAGCTTAGTAAACAATTTCCTGTTTAAGCAGATGGTAAATATTTCACACAATCTCTCTCCTCTTTATCAAAAGGTTCTGGTCTTTTTCCTCTGTATCAATGGCGCTCTCTCTGAAACTTGTAGAGATTCCAGACTAGATGAAATAATCGGTTAGTGAAGTTGTCTAATTCCATTGAAGTAACAGGTTAGTTAAGTTGTCTAATTTGTTTGTTCGTCGCTTCATTCCATTCGTAATTTCTGTTCTAGGGTTTTGATTTGTTCTTATTTATGTGTGATGCAAAAAACATTTCATGAAATTGAAATCATAATTGCGATAGAAATCAAAATAATTTTGTACGTAATGGGATTATGAGGTTCAATCCTTCTGTATTCATTTTGTTTAAAATGCAATTTATAAATTGTGAAAATGGTTTGTAGTCTTGTGCTAACGTGTTGATTGATTTCTCTTAATATTAGAAAATTGGTTGTACTACTTTGTTGGTTGTTCAATTGGTTTGTGCGATCAAGGGTGAAATAATTTCTGTGCTAAAAATGTTCATGTGTTGTATTCATTATGCCTTGTTACTAAGCTGATTGTGTTAATATGTATCATAATTATGTTGTTGTTATGTTTTGTATATGAAGGGGGAATTGTTTGTGATGGAATTAGAGGGTATGATAATGGAGACTGATAATTTGGACATGGAAAATTAAGCGTTATAAGGGGCAATGAGGTTGGTGTTGGTGATAGGGGTCGTGGAGTTAAGTTTAGGAGTAACGTCGATATGGAGGATGAGGGTATAGAAGACATAGTTGTTGCAGATATGGAGGAGGAGGGTATAGAAGACATAGTTGTTGCAGATAGTTGTGCTAAGATTGGTGAAGGTGCATTTGACATGAATGTTAGGCATTTATCCCCTTTAAAAGCAATTCATACGACACACACTGTGGTTGGTAGCAACAAAATGAATGTAGTCACTATTGAGGAGCCTAAGATTGGGATGATTTTCCGCTCTTGGCAAGAAGTTAAAGCCTACTATAAGGAGTATGCTGAGCAGATGGGGTTTGGAGTGTCAAGGGTTCAAGGTGTAAATTCTAAGACGGACAAGAGGCATATAATTGCAAACACGTGGAAGTGTGAGTGTTAGGGAAAACCCAACATGAGGGCTAGGAGGGAAGCGAAGAAGAGGGCAAAGGCAATGGGTGTTGGAGGTTCAGGCGGATTAGTAGATGGGGTCGTATGTGAGGATGAGTTAAGTCGTGGGAAGAGGACTTCAATAAAGTGTGAATGTGAGGTCCGGACTTATGCTAAAGTTAATGAAGATGGTTGTTGGGTTTTGAAGACCGTGCACTTAAAGCATAATCACAAGATTGCTCCGGCTCAAGATAAGCTTGTCAAGGAGTATCGCATGAAGCACATGACCTCAAAAGTGAGGAAGACGTTGATGGATTATTATGAGCAGGGTGTACCCATTTCTCAAATAGCATGGCGACCGAACGGAACGAATGCCGCTCACTGTCAAAGATTTACAGCATGAGGTGTACAAGGCTAGGCGGTTGAAGATGGTTGGCAGGGGACTCGGTGGCAATGATGGAGTACTTTAAAAAATGCAATCCGGCAACCAAAATTTTTTCCATGCTCAACGTTTGAATGAAGATGGGAGACTTAAGGATGTGTTGTGGGTGGATGCAAGAAGTAAGGTAGCTTATGAGGACTTTGATGATGCGGTTTTCTTCGACGCAACCTACCTAACAAATTAGTACGAGCTCCCGTTTGCAAACTTTGTTGGTGTGAACCACCATGGGCAATTGTTGTTGTTGGGTTGTGCTCTTGTTTCACATGAAGACTGCAATACATTTGCTTGGATATGTCGACATTGGCTAGCTTGCATGAACAACTGGGCTCCTAATGCCATTTTGACCGACCAAGCGGCAACTATGCGGAGGACCCTAGCTGAAGTCATGTCAACACGATGCATCGTTGGTGCATATGGCATATCATGAGCAAGTTCCCTAGGAAACTTGGAAAGTGTACGCGGTTCATGTCTTAACCCAATAAAGATGCTAATGGATTCATGTGTGTGATTTTTGAACTTGATGTTGCTGTGTAGTTGCTTATTTGTTGCTGTTTTATTGGTGTTCTATTGTTGTTTTGTAATTGTTCTGCTGCTGTTCTGCTATTCTGTTGCTATTTTGTTGTTCTGTTGCTGTGTTCAGTTGCTGTTTATTAACTAATCTGTTGCTGTTCTGCTATTCTGTTGTTGTTTTGTTGTTGTTCTGTTGCTGATCTGCTATGTTCTCTTTTTTGTTATGATTGTTTGCCTCTCTCATTGTTTTGCTTGTTCTAATTATTTTCCTCTTGACTCCCATTTGCAATATAATGTTGTAATTTATACTATGATTGTCTTGCTTGTTTTGATTGTTTTTTCAACCTCCCTCTAATGTGTTCCTCCCCTCCCCTCAGAAAATCTCCACTCTAATGTGTTCCTCCCCCTGGTATGTGGGATAGGGAGGAATTTTATGTAATCTGACTACCATTATATGCTTTATGATTGTCAATATTGTTTTGTTTATAGTTACCAAAAATTCATCAACCCTCTAAAAGCGGTTGTGTATGAGAGTTTTGACCCGAGGAGTTCCATTAGCGATGGGTAGAACTTATATATGAGTATAAGTTGGAGGACAATCAATGGCTTCAAAGCCTCCACAAAGAGAGTCATATATGGGTGCCGACGTACATGAATGAATTTTTCTGGGCCGATATAAAGACCACACAAAGGGTGGAGAGCATTAATCGGTTTTATGATGGCTATGTTGACCGCAAAACTAAACTTCATGTGTTTCCTCAGAAGTATTGTATGGCATTGGATCAACGAGTTCGAGATGAGGTGAGTGTAGATGACTGTTGCTCAAAGTACCTGAGGAGGTTGGTTAACGGATTCAAAGTTGAAACTTTTTTTCCAAAAGTTGTACACAGACAACAAGTTTCAGTAAGTTCAGACAGAGTGTTCTAGAATGATGTATTGCAATGTTCGAGAAGAGAGGGTGTTGTCAGAAAACCTTATTCATTATTTGGTGGTGGATCGTGTATGGATTGTACCTCCCGGTGCTAGTGAGGAGGTCATTATAGATCGCCAAAGACTATACAATGTTACGTTCTTTCCAATCACAAAGAAGTGCAATGTGATTGTAGAAAGTTCGAGACACATGACATACTTTGAAAACACTCCATTAGGGTCCTCGATGTAAACTTGGTGGAAAATCTC